GCCGTGTTGCACACAGAGGTCAAGGGTCAGGTGTAGAGGTCATGGGGACGACCACGGCGGCCTGTGAAGCCAACACTGGAGTTCCTTCACAATGTGTCACATGTAATATCCAGCATGAGCGCTGAGCTAAACACACACTGCTAATCAGACCCCTGGTGGAGAGGGGCTCAGAGAGGGGGGTTCAGGGTTACCTGTTCACACCCACTGAAGGCAACATGGTGCCTGTAAAGGAACAAGCGACCCCCCCCAAAGCCAGGTGGTGGCATCACAGCATCTCCCCTCTACACTTGGTTTTAACTCCATCTGCTCTTCCAAGGCTGTCTGTGGCAAACTAAAACTCCTGACGGTCATGCTCGGTAGTCTCCACTGAGGGGGTGGGGGTGGGGGGGGGGGGGGGGGGGTTTGGATGGAGTGGTGCCCAAAGGGGAGAGCAGCTTCTCTGCTCTGACCTCTCACAGGATTCATCTAGTCTGCCACAGAGTGAAAACAATGATGTATCTGTGGCTGCTGCTTCCTCACGTCCATCTCACAGTGGGGAGGGGGGACTGATTGATTGATTGATTAGGCGCTTTCATACCAAGTACTTTGCCGTACTTAGTTCATCAGAACTTAGTTCATCAGAACTTAGTTCATCAGAATTCTTTAGTTCTGATGAACTAAGTACAGATCGCGTTCACACTGGAATAAGTCCCTGAGGGAGGATTAGGCAAATGAAGCCGCTGACGTCACTTCTTCTTCTTCTGCTTTGGGTTTACTGGCAGGCCGCAAACAACTTCACGGCGTATACTGCCGCCCGGAGTCCCCGGCCGGAAGTCCCGGAGTTGCCTTCCAAGTAAATTGCCAGAACGCCGACATCTCCTCATCACTCCACTGCTCCCATGTTTTATTTTGTGTTGCCATAAGTTAGTCTCTCTCCGTTGGTGCGCTGGGCTAATGCTAATAATGCTAATGCCAGCAAATACAATGGCGGCTTCACAAAACCTTTTGGCAGTTTTACGGGGCGTGGTTTGCAATCCGCCCAGCCAATCAGAAATGGGAACCTTTTTCTCCCACGAAAGTACCTGCTCTCTAGCAGGGACTGAAAAGGGGGTGGTAAGGTTCTCATTAAAGGTAGGGTAGGTAAGTTTGAGAAACCGGCTCGAGATCGCTAGAATTTGAAAATACACAACCGGAGAAAATCTGCCACTTCCTTATAGAGCCCCTCCTCCAACACACACGAACGCGCACATGACCAATGAGGGCACGAGATAAGTTTGTGCACAGATGGAAGGCTGACAGGCAGGTAGGCCATCCAGTTATTTTAGCCGGGCCGGCTAAAATGATTGGTCGTGCTTTTTACAGTACTACGGCTTCCACAGATGATTTTTTTATGGATTTTTTGTCAAAGCACTTAAGATATTCATTGCTATCGGGATGTTAAGAGCATTCCATGGAATACGCACATTTTCGGAACTATACTGGGAAAAGTACTCTAGAGTGAAAAGCTGACATCACAAAAACCACAACTGTAATGTGACAAAGCATTTCCCATCTGTCCTCTCTGCATCAGCCATGCCCTGTGAGAGAGGCTGTGGGAGAAGTTTGGATTCTTAAAACCTTGGAATCTTTTTTAAGTTGAATTATTCGCTTGGCAGAGCTTCTTGTGCTCAGCCATTGTGACTCATTCAGTCACGGTGTCGTAAAGAGTCAGACACGAAAAAGGTTGATAATTGTGTTTAGGTTGCCATTCGATTGTATCAAGAAGCACAAATGTAAAATATCAATGGCTTAACATTATTATGAAATGACTGCTATGTACAGAAAAACAACGGTTTCAGTTGGTCAGTCCCAGCAAAGTAGCCCCCCCTCTGTGGGGAGGACTAGTCAAGCGGTCCACGTTGTTTTTTGTTTTAAAGCCCCGGATGTTTTTTCTTTAGCCCCGGACAATTCTCCCTCAATAATATAATACATTAACTGTGCTTTACCTGAACCTCATCATGACACTAGAGAGGACGGCAGGATTGTAATTTCCAGTGTTCAGTGAATGCAACAGAGGCAAGACACCAGACCAACCAGAGAGTTGCATGGAAATAAACGTGTCTTATTGGCTGACAGGTACCTATCCTGTGAGCTGTGACAATGTTTAAACTGTCAGTTTGACTCAGAGTTTTTGAAGATGGACATAAGGACATTTTTTCTTAAAAAAGACGACAATTCTCAAGTGTTGGCTCACACAACAACCCCAAAGCCACCACTTGAGCCAGGTAAACAAGGCATGTAAACGTCAGTAAACTTCCAAGTTATGCGATCATGTAAGCAAAGCATAAATTACAGCTACGTTGTTGACGTTACTTTGAATCGCGGGGGTAAGCTAAACCGTTAGCAAGTAGCTATAATTAGCCAGATATATTAAATAAACACTTTGTCATACAATCTAAATGTAATGTTTTTTAGCGTTACCTGGTGATTTCAAAGAAAGCTCTCTGGAAAATGTTGGCTTATGCTGCGTTCACACCGGACGCGATGCGATTTTTGGGGACGGCGCGATTACATGTAAAGTCAATGCAGAGACGCGGACAGACGCGAATTCACTCCGACGGCGCGCATAAAGCGGTGGACGCGGTGCGAATCACGCGATTGAGGCGATTTGAAGGGGGCCGCGCATAGACTGTATATATAAATGGACGTAGGGTCCGTGACGTCACCCATAGGATTCTGCAGAGTTGCAGAGAAGCCCTTAGTAGGCGGAGTCGGCCACTAACGGCTCGACAGTGACGTCAGAGTCTAACTCCCGCCTGATCCAAATAAGGGCAAAGAGGCGGAGCCGAGGCGGGACCTGCTGCTGAAGCACAAGGCGGGGCTCCAAGCTCCCGATCTAGCTGAAGCTACCAAGCTAGGCTAAGATGCTCACATGCTCATGCTCACTTAATAAGCCTTGTTCAACATCATTTCTTTAGCTAATACTACAGCGGGCTGCAGGTGAACCAAGTCTGCGTTTCGCTGCATTCCTTGATCTCCAGTTATAACGCCGGACTCCGCCGCCGGGATGCCGGAGCTAACGGAGCCGCAGGGGGCTAGCTAGCTCCCTGCGGCTCCGTTAGCTCCGGCCGGCGGACTTCGGCGGACTTCGGCGGCCACCACTGGGATAATTGGGTCCCCTTTTAACATTTGCTCCCGTTTAGCATTATGGGCGTCATAGCCATAGACTATAAAAGTCTTACCCAAGGCTGAATCATAAACGGTTACGTCCTTAGCTGGCTAATAAGATAACAAAATAAGCTAACAAACACCTGCTAACATGTATAATATTATCATTTTACTCAACAAAAAAGCTGAGAGTAGACTTCTTGAAAGTTCTGTTAGTACCTTCAACCGCACAGCACAACATTTTAATTGTCTGGTATTTGTAACAACATTCCCTAAAAGGCACAATCACCACGAACACGGCTAAAGGGTCAAGTATAGTAACTACAACTAGCTAACGTTGTAGCCTAGCAGAGTGGACAAGTTGCTGTTAGCTGACAGTGAGGCACGTACCTGTCCATCAAAGTGACCACGCCCTAATTTATGCAAAAACGTTAGGACCTAATATAAATAAAAGGGTCGCGTTATAAAACAATTCACTCAACAATTAATAATCATTAAGGTGGAATCTAACTATATCCCGAATAATTTTTATTACATCCAGGGGTAGAAACATGTTTATTTCTGCTGTAAAGTTGGGCATTTTAACATGGGGGTCTATGGAAATTCCTCCTTTCTGCAGTCATCGCCTATCGGCCAATAGATGAACTGCAGTTTGTGGCACTTCCTTATTGGCGTCCCGGCTCTGCCCCAGAGTTTGCCGCTTGGGGCCGCGTCAAACGCGAGAGTTCAATTTTTTCAACTCGAGCGTCAAATTCACGTGGCGCGTTCTCGCGAAAGCCAATCAGCGTTGGGATTCCCTTTGACGTCCCTCTGACGTCCTGCTGTTGATCAGTTGTAAAGATGGAAGAGATGATCGTTGTGGCTGTGAGTGGGTTCCCGGAGATTTACGATACAATGTCGTAGCCTATATCTACCGGGACCGCAACAAAAAGGAGCTGGCTTGGAGGAGAATAAGAACCCAGACACGGCGTTTGTTGGTATGTTTGTAGGATTTCCACAGAAGGTACAAAGCAGCAATTGTTGTTATATCCTCCATAGTTAAGGACAGAAATAACCAAAACGATCTTGCATGGAAGTGTAAACAACCTCAACTGTCCGTCAACGGCGCGGCGCGTCAACGGTATGTCTGTTTTGAATGACGCGATAAAACAAACTGCCAGCCGGGGAGAAACTTGAGCGATTGGAGCGATGCGAATATTCCCATCGCGTCCGGTGTGAACGCAGCATTACTGTTCGACATGAAGCTAGAAGCTACCTTACAGTACACAGTTGATCCTGAGTCCTGTCAGTTAAAGTGTTTCATAGTTAGCTTAGCTAAGCATCAACCTAGCACTGAAATATATGGATGTTATGTGACAGTATTTCTGCTCTACTATGCCACTGCTTTACGTGTCGACAGCATGTTTGAACGTATTTGCAGCAGTAAATAAATGTGGCTGTTTGGCCACTGACGTTGCCATAACAACACCTGAATTTAAATGGGCAACCTCTTTTTGTGGCGACGCCCCTGGATTTAATCCAGTTAACAAGACTTTAATAACCTCATGGAAATAGTTTTTTCTTGTCTCTATTCCTACTGCTCAGTGAAAAAGAGACAGAATATCTTTTGAATGGGTTTATTCACTGTAACAGGGAGACACAGTGGGGGGGGTCAGAGGTTCACAGCACACGTTTGAACTCAGTAAGTCTTCAGTGGTCTTATAGCCAATAGCCAGGTTACTGTGGCATCTAAAGTCAGCCACTAAAGTGTCAAAGTGACTCCTGGCTGCGTTCCCCCTCACTGTGCGGGCGGGGGGGGCCGGGTGATAGATGGTGCTGTGTGGTGCTGAGATAAGAGCAGGGCTGGCATGTAGGGGCTGACCTGCTCAGATAAC